TGTTAATAAGAAGATTTGAAATTAATGAATGCAAGATTTCCCAGCTCTAGCATTGCTCTTCATAGTTCACCTAGGAACTTTTCAGCCCATCCTTATAATGGGAGAAGACACCTGCTTCTGGGGATCCTAAGCCTGTGACAGTACCTTCCTCACTGCACTAAGAAGGTTCACTTCATGTAATATTGATGCCAGCATGACAGTAGTTGTATAGACTGGGCAATTTTTGTCCTGGGCCCATATGCATGTTCATATATATGTTTGCCAGCTACTGCCATTGAGCTGACAGGGAAACTGTTTCATCCTTACTCCTAAGGCATCCTTCTGGAAGTGTCTTCTCATGAAAATTGACTCTCCCAGACACCATAACTTGGGACTCAGCGTTGGATATTAGGGATCTGGGAACAGCAATGTAGGAATGAAAAGTGTGGAAATGGATTGTCAATGGAATTCCGACTGACCATAGGGAGGTTGAATGATGATGATGTTGATGATGATAATTTGGACACCCCCCCCCATTAAAAACGATTTTGTGTCACATCCTGTCTTAGTGGGCAGATCAAGTGAATAATAATCCCATTTTGCAAGTGGAAAAAACGCAAAAAGTACATAATTGATACAATAGTTAGACCTTTGTTGTAACATTAATGTTATTAAAACATGACAGGTTTTGTGTATTCTCTTTTTAATTTGTTTAATCAATTTCAGTGCATTTCATGCTTTTTGAGACAAGACGTTGAATTATTGATTCTCAAAAAACAAATTGCCGACATATCAATTACCTTTTGTACACACTTGTTATTAATACTTGCCTACTTTGTGGTTCATTAAATATTGTGCTGAGAGTATTTGCAATCTTGCTGTTTTAAATAAGAAGTTTTATAAGCTGAATAAAAATTTCTGAAAACGTGTAGTTGTGTATAATACGCACCTCCTTTTTGACTTTAATTTTCATTCAAAATTTTTTGTATTATGCACAAGAAAATATGATAGCTTTTCATGTGAAAAAAATCAATGATAGATCTAAAAATATTTCTACAAAATTAAAAAAAATAATCCTATTTATTCCCAAACAATTTCTGAAAACTTCAATAATATCTGATAATTATCTGATTTGTCTTATGGTTTAAAATCTTGATTTTTTTTTTTTTTTGAGTTTCCAAATTTATGATTTTATTGCTCAGCCTAGGGTAGGACTGGTCCAAACTGACTGCACAAAAACAGCCATATGCATTACATATGCAGCATGTTGATGGACAATCATCTCTTCTTTATAATATAAATTACTGCTGAACTGTCAGATAAAAAAATTCAATCAGAGGCAAAAAGGTATTAGACAATTAAAATTATATATATATATATATATTCACCAAACACAAGTTTTATTTGTGGCAGCATGTTGGAGGTATGGTAAGCAGTGTATAGTAATTGTTAGGATATTTGGCCGATGTGTTTACAACTTGCTGGTAAAGGATTGCATTTTATATCCCCCATATAAGTTGACCCCAGTCTTATAAAGATTTTTTTAGTCTAGAAAACTGGACTTGAATGCCACAATTTATGGTATATAAACAGGAATGGCCTATTGTTAATCTAAGATTTGATTCTATTTGTTTATTTATGTCTTATCAACCCTTTGAAGGTTATTTAAAGTCAGAAAATATTTTTAGAGTGTAAGAATTTTTTTTAGATAATAATAATTTAGTGATACAAATCTTACTAATTAACCCACCGCTGGGGGGAGAAGGGGTGGATTCATACCTTTCTGAAGGGTACTTGCAAGTAAGTGAATATAACAAACCCAACTGGAATTGGAACTTGGCTTTCCGATTAACAATTGAGTCATTATCCACTTTATCACCTTACAGCACTTGGTAATTCACCCATCCAGGTACTGACCAGGCTCAATGATGCTTAATGTTTATCTGAGGTAATAGCAAGGTGTAATGGACATGCTAAAGAATAAGCCGTATGATGGCGAATTCAGGACTAAAAATCATTGGCATTAAATAAAAGTTGGTGATATATATGTATATTCCACATTTGTATGAGGGGGGAAAAATGACGAAAAAAGTTCTGGCAAACATGGACCTTCATGTTTGCAATAAGACAGAGTGTCAAAAGGATGTTTTTTTTGTCCTACGACACTGCTTTTTATAACTACCTTCACTCTTATTGTTTTAAAAAGCAATTAGAATTGTAATAAAACCTAAACACATGATGAAAGTGAATTTATACATTTTCTTTGTTCTTGAGAATTGACAACAAAAAATAAAAAACACTAGATTTTTTATTCACACTATTTATTATATTATTTATTAGAATAGTTGGCATAACATCGGCTAATTGCCAATTGATTCAAACTTAATAAAACGATAAATAAATATTTCCTTATAGTTGGTTCATATACTTTAATAATTTAGTAAATGTTTATAAATGGATGAATAAAAAATTGTTTTCATATTTATTGCTTTTTAAATTTAGTAAATGATAAATAGTGCATTGTATTAGTTATTGGATTAGTTTTTAGAATGTTGTAAATATAAAATTATTCTTGTAAATAAACAATCTAATAAATAGTGTTTAATATTTTTGTTGTAAATTCCCAAGAATAAAAAAAAAATGTATATATTCACTTTCATCATGTTTAGGTTTTACCCCAATTCTAATCATTGTTTTTAAAACAACACTTCCAAAGAGAGAAGGTAGTTAAAAAAAGCAATGTCATGGGGAAAACTGTTGACACTCCATCTTATTACAGGCATGAAAGTCCATGTTTACCAAAGATCTTTTACTGTAAACACCTTGACTGTCATCAAAAATAATCTTTGAATGAAAGGCAAGAGGAAGATAAAAGATTTGAGTGTTTATTAAAAAATTGAAACACATTTTACAAGTAATAGTCAATAATGGAAAGTTGAAGATAAAAATACAGTATATTTCTAGAGTAATTTTGGCCACCTTTAAATGTACAGCATTAAAAATAATGTCCGTTTTGGCAATAATAACAGTTCTGGTTTTGGTCTTAATGTTTGTATAACATCTGATGTTAGAACGATTGTGTTGAAGCAATCCTTGAAATGGAGAGGGTCTGCTGTCTTGAGAATCAATATTCAAAATACGGGATTTTGACTATCTACTGTTGCAAGAGAAAAAGGCTTATCTTATTCACCAATCAGAGCCCACAGTAGATATTTACAAGGCTCCTTTTTTTTTTTTTTGAGGCTCTAATGTTGACCACTGGTGCTCATGAGGAATATTTTTTTTTTTTTTTACAATGCTGTTCCCTCTGTACAAGGTTGAATAGACACTCAATGTTGATTACAAAGAGTTATAGTTTACATGGATATGTGAAGAAGATAACGGTTAACCGTAGATATGAACACCTTAAGATTGTTGGTTGGTTGATTTTATTTCGCAGCATATCAACCTTGATGGGTTAATTAATGCCGAAATCTAAATATTTTGAACACAATTGTATGCCTTCAACTAAATATATCTTGAATGCAACTGTATACCTTCAACTACAGATAAAATATATTGTTGGTAATTTTGCTATAAAATATATTGGTCATAATTCTACTATAAATATGTATTGTTGGTAATTTTACTATAAATTATTGTTGGTAATTCTGCTATAAATATGTATTGTTGGTATTTTTTACTATAAAATATATTTTATATATTTGTAATGCTTTGTTTTTGTTTGGGGGGGGGGAGCTCACTATTTGCCCATAGCTAGGCTTCTATGTGCTAGCACATGAAGGTTAGAACTGATGGAATGAAAGAATGTAGTTTATCTGAACAGTTTCCATGGAGATATTGATAGATCAGCAAGAGGCTTGCAATGCTTTGTCTGTGGGGAAAGGGGTTGTAGGGTGGAAAATAATTCACAAGCATCCAGAGACACTTTTGGATTCTATTGAGACTGGAAAGTGAAGACTGGGAGGCTCCTATATATTTTCGGCCTGATCTGGCTCTTGTAAAGGTAAAGGATAGCAGGAGTCAGGTACTTACTGGAGCAGTACAGGGAACAGACCCTTTTTCCAGCATCTTTAACAATGGCTTGTATGTCCGAGTTCCACTTGAGATCTGGGTTGAGTTTAAGTCCCAATGTAACAATCTAAGGCATAAGACAGGTCACATAATTTAAATTCTTACAAAGTCATGTCCAGACATTTTTTTGCCAATAACTGCTTTTGTTCTCCTTTGTCCAGGAATTTACAGTGAGCAACAAAAAGGAAAGAGTGAAAAAAAATTTTTTCTTTTAACTAGCCGATTCCTATTTAAAAAAAATGCTGCATAAAAATCTGAATTTCCCCCAAATTTAAGAAATCTTTCGAGATTAACAAATTTAGTCAATTTCTGAGAGAAAAGTTATTATTATTGTCTATACTATTTATATGCAAATTATTGTCCTCATCTTTGTTGTTGTTATCACATTTTGACTATTGTGCCTTACAGCCTTCATAAGGCTTATGGCAATTCAAGTAACCTACAGGGAATAAAGAACTGAACCAGTCAAGCATGACATGCAGTAGCAGCACCCATCAGCAGGCAGATTAGGTTAAAGATTCAAAGTTCTCCACAGAGGATTGTCCCACAGGACAATAACCTAGTAGATTAAAGTGTTGATTCATAAATTTGGTAACATAATAATTGTGAGTTCAATCCCTGAGCTGGGTAGTGTTCTTGGACTCAGTGGAAAATCGTGAGGCAGTACTAAAATGAAATTGATCGATTTTTTCTTACGATTTATCAACATTTTGCATATTATTTAAAGCCAGAAAATATTTTTAGATTTCTTGGTTAGGGGTGAAGATGATTTTTACTGATACACGTCATACAAATTAACCCATAGCTGGGAGGAAAAGAGGTGGATACATACCTTTCCTAGGGTATTTGCACATAAGTGAATATAACAAACCTGACTGGAATTGGAACTTGGCCCTCCGATTTCCAATTCTGAGCTGTTATCCATTACACCACCTACCTATTCAAGTTACAACACCTGGTATTCACAAGTGGTCATCCATCTAGGTACTGACCAGGCTTGATGTTGCTTAACTTTGGTGATCATATCAGAACCAGTGTTTCAATGTGATATAGCTGTAAGCCACTAAAATAAAATAGATGAGATATCTCTCAATATAGAACAAGAACAATCTACGCCCTGTAGATTAAATAATGGGTTCAGTTTGAAATTACCTGTAGGTTATCTGGATTGACATACACCTGATGAAGGCTGAAGGGCACATCAGCCAAAATAATATTGATAACAATAAAAAGGAGAATAATAGTCTCCATGTAAATAATAAATTTACAGCCAAAAATCACTAATTTGATGTCTTAAATGTCAGTGTTAAAAAAAATAGACCTTGTGAATTTTGTAGTGTGTTGCAATATGAATAAGATGAGGTCTTGTTAAATTGAAAACAGTGGGACTTGTCGCAAAAATGGATATGGAACATTTACTTTCGATCAATGGTTATCAGTAAGTCAACTTCAAAGTACAGAGCAAGAGGCTCAGACTAAGAGAAAGTCATGGAAGGAAGATAAATTAATTTTTTAGATGAAGATGACAAGACAAAGAAAACTTATCTATAAAACTGACCATCTTGTGAAAAGGTACACGGAAGGAATGAAGCGGACCTTGCAGAATGAACAGGGAAGATGGCCAGTGAACTGTGCACCTCCCCACTGACCTATGCCTCATTTCTACTTTGCTTATTTATAGCAGTAGGTTACAACCAAAGAATAAAATCTGGTTTACTGCAAGAAATTGTTTTGTTTTTTCACTAATGGGTAACAATCTGGTTGAAGCGTAATTTTTAAGCCACAAACGTTTGGCGGGATGGAAACTGCACCCTGTTGCGAACTTGGTGTCTGGTCTGAGCTACAATGCAACAACTGCAGTAAAAACATCTAAAAGTAAGCTAAAAGTCTTAAATTCAAGCTCTAAATGGCTTTTTATTATATTGACACCACATTTCAACCCAGAAAATCTAACATTTTTCTCATTCTTTTAAATTTCAATATCCTGCAAGTTGTAATGCCACAAGAAAAACACACAAAATATATAGGTTTTAAAAAGTTTGACTTTCAAGGTTTCTATTTCAATGAAAAATCAATGTGTTACTCTTGTGGTGTTTTGAATAAACTTTCCTCAAATTTTCTCTCGCAAATGCCATTAAAATGCAATGATTATTTTAAGACAATTGTAATTGACAAAGAAAAATACTGTTTTTTATCTTACCCATCATCAGTAACACACTATGCATTTCAAGCAAAAATATCTGACTTTTCCCTTGTTCCTTACGATTTGTGCCCACTGTGGTCATTAATCAAACTGCAGATCAAACGATATATTACAGAGAATGATGTAAAAGGAGCACTTCTGTTCATCTTTATTCTGCTCAAGAGCCTCAAATCAAGTTGTTCCTTTTTCAAGTAGACTTGGCGCCTCATAGAAACATTGTCAACTATAAAATGGCATGTTCTGATAATGCTGACGGAGAGAGGTAGAATACGGTTTGAGTATGTAGTGAGCTGTAAAAAACAAAAAAAAAAAAAAAAAAGAGAATCAATCATGCATAAATTTACTGAAATGAGCCTTGAACTTTACAAAAGTCATAGAATGTTTTCTTTTTAACTAATGTTTACCCTATACAAGATCCAAGAGCCCCTCAAGGTAGTGGGTTACTGAAGGAGGTTGCTGTATGAGGAGTAGAAGTAAGAGTAAGCAGTTTATGAGGATATGCAGGAAAGATAATAGTTATCTCTAGACTTGAAGAGGTTAAGATTGTAGTGGTTGGGAAAGCATCTTCTTGGGAGTTGGTTTCATAAAATAGTGGGTTGTGGGAAGAGGCTGTTTGTGTGGAACTTCTTACTAATGGAATGAGGATGATCTGACTTAGAATACTTGGGATGGTGGGTCTTACCTGTGAGGCTTAGAATTGGTGGAACTAAGGAATGTAGCTAGTCAGAACATTTTTCATGAAAATAGCAATAAAGTAGCAAGTGTCTTGGAATGTTCCCAACAACAACTGAACATTCTAGACATTATCATTTCATATTAGAGAAGTTGTTTTTGCTAGAGCTAAGAGTTTCATTTCACTTATCATAAATGCTTCAGGTTCAAAATGTCTCTGGATAAGATAATAAATAATGCACCATTATTCCGACATGATTAGTTTCTGGTTAACAAACCTAGATTTGTTGGGCCTAAGTCCAAGAACATTGTGTTTCTTACTAAACAGCAAGTCACAGTATTTTAATATTGTAAAACTCAAGCAGACCCTCAGATTCCTCAGGTGTGATGAATCAATCTCCAGAATGTATTTTTTTGTGACGTTTTAGACCATAATTAGTCATAAAAGATGACCCACAAATATCACAACTAAATGGTTTCTCATTTTTGTGTGTTCGCATATGACGCTGCAAATCAAGCCTCCGTGGGAAGGCCTCTTCACAAAGTTCACAACTGAATGGGTTCTCTTCGGTGTGTGTACGCACATGCTGTCTAAGATATGAAAACCGTGAGAAAGTGCATCCGCATATATCACAACTAAATGGCTTTTCTCCGGTGTGTATTCGCATATGGCGTTTAAGGGGTGAATTGCCTGTAAAAGCCGACCCGCAAATATCACAGGTAAAAGGCTTCTCTCCGGTATGCGTTCGCATGTGATATGTTAGATGTGAACTCTGTGTGAAAGCTGATCCACATATTTTACAATGAAATGGCTTTTCTCCAGTGTGTGTCCGCATGTGGCGCTTAAGGGGTGATGTGCTGGAAAATGCAAATCCACAAATGTCACAAGTGAATGGTTTCTCCCCAGTGTGAGTTCGCATATGAAATTTGAGTTCGGAACTAGTTTTAAATGCTGAACTGCAAACATCACAAGGGAACGGTTTCTCTCCCGTATGTGTTCTGATATGGTTCTTTAAACTTGAACTGCAAGTAAATGATGATCCGCAAATTGCACATTTAAATGGCTTCTCTCCAGTGTGCTTTTGCATGTGAATCTTTAGTTGGGAATTAGTTCTAAAAGCTGATTTACATATTTCACAAGGAAACGGTTTCTCTCCTGTGTGTGTTTGCATATGGCGCTGCAGATGTGAGTTGCATGAAAATGCAAACCCACAAACATCACAAGTAAAAGGCCTTTCTCCAGTATGTATTCGCATGTGAACTTTGAGATTAGAATTTGTCCTGAATGTAGAACTGCATACTTCACATGAAAAGGGTTTCTCTCCTGTGTGTGTCCTTATGTGGTTTTTTAACCCCGAACTGCAGGTAAATGCAGCGTCGCATAAGTCACAACTAAATGGCTTCTCCCCTGTGTGTTTTCTCATGTGAACTTTAAGTTCAGAATTAGTTTTAAATGCTGAATCGCAAAGTTCACAGGAATGTGGTTTCTCACCAGTGTGTGTTCTCATATGACGTTTCAGCTGTGAACTGTTGTTGTACACAGCTTCACAAAACTCACAGGAAAATTGTTTTTCTCCATGAGTCTGCATGTGCTGCTTTAGATTCTCTTTGTCCAAAAATGTTGACCCACAATCCTTGCAGCACAAAGTTTCAGCCATTATACTTAAACAGAATAACTATTTCCAATAAGGAAGTGGCAGGTTTTCAGTTGGAGTTTTAATTTCGTAAATTACAGTTCTTCAAAACTAGTAACAGATATCTTAAATCAAAATATTTTATTTTTGATTTTTTATCCAAGAATATTATTTTTAAACAGTCAACATGTACGTTTACAAAACAAATTTTCAAATTTACATCACTAAAGGTGGTTGAAATTCAGGTGGATTTGCTTTCTGTTTTGATGTATCTGTAAATAAAAAAGAAGAAATTTTTTTCTTTCATAAAACTATGTTATACATTAAAAAAAATATAGTATAATTTCATAAAAACTCTGAGTTACCAAAATTCATACAGCTAAAGAAAAAAAAAACAATATAATAATGTATAAATTCATGAAAACTTCAAGCTACCAAAATTCATACAGCTTAAAAAAATTATGCAATATCAAATATTAAAACTGTTTAAAAATGTTGTTGGCACAAAATTTTACTATAGCAAAAAAAAAAAAAAAAAAAAATAAAAAAACAACTAAAAAGGCAAAAAAAAAAAAGAAAAGAAAAACGGACACAACCACAGAAATTGGTACAAAAATAGAAGCACATAAAAGAGAAAAAAATGATGAGAGAGAAAACAGAATGAGTTAACTGGTTATAGGGCCAGGTTTGTCAGAGTTTGATCATGGTAACTTTATTAAATCAAAACCTTCCCTATGTAAACAGAAGGATTGGTTAAGTGAGCTTAATGGGATCTGCTCATGAAAAGATATACCATATATGTGAGTTTTATGGTAATTTTTTAAAGCCAAAAATAGGGAGTTATACTACACACAGGTAATTTTTTGAAGAGGTTAAAAATCAGGCATTTTGGGTGACTGGTTGCACTATACACAGGTAAATTTTTTCTGGAGAGGTTAAAATTCCTGCATTTTCAATGACTGTCACCTGCCTGGTAGAAGTACATTCATGGTATCTTTGGCTAACCTTAATGGTACAGGTAAGCTGCTTTAACCTGCCTCCTGTAGCCAAGATATTTCTTTCTGTTGCTACATGAACAGCAGGATGTCAGCCACTATGTGTGCCACTTAAAATCTACAAATACCTTAACAATGCTTTTTTTTTCACTTTCTCCAATTTGTGTTCATCTTCATTTGCTTTTGAAGTATTACTTTTCCAATGGCACACCTTTTGTCTGATATATATCTATCTTTCTGTTGTGTTCCTTATTATATCTTCCTTTGTTTATGTATTTTTATTTATTATATCTGGCAACACATCACAGAACACATTTAAAGAACCTCAGTTTCTAGTGAAATAAAGCAAAAAATAACATATGTATAGAGGACATTTTACTTAGAATGACTTGAATTATCATAACCCAAAGTATGCAACTCAACTTGTGGGACAGTCTGCATTATATACTGGTAATCCTGACAAAAAGGTTGTCATTGGAAAGGCAGTACCTCAGCAATGTAAACAATTGTGCAATGTAGATGAATGCAAATTTGAGACAGGAAAAAATGTATTAATTTTTCATTAATATAAGGTATTTGTTGATTTTAAGTGGCATACATAGTGGATGGAGTTTTGCTCTTCCTGTAGCGACAAAAGAGAAAAAATTAAGGCTATGTAGAAAGCAGGCCAAGGGTAAAGGAACTACTGTAGTCAGGCATGTTTGAAAACAAAAGTACGTCATCTAAATTTTTTTATCAGATATTTTATATTATATTTTTTGCGGTAGCTTTGTATAAAAAAGAATGAAGACTAATTATTTGTTATATATCCAGGATGATGCCCAGTACCGTAATATTTAACTATAGTAGGCCTATTAGCATTGCTCAGAAGCAGGGGTTACATTATACATGAAATCAGGTTTCTTTCGAAAAAAATTCAGGGGTCGCACTATAAATGAAGTAGGCTTATGCACAAGTATATATGGTACCTATCTCAATATATTGGGATATGTGAATTTTCTTTTGACATGATCTTTGTTTAACCAGTGTGCACAGTAATTTTATTTATTTACCTCGATCAAGCTTGGACAAGTGTCATATAATGGCTGCTTGGTTCATACCATTTCTTTTCTCTCACCTACTTTCTTTTTCTGTGCTTCTATTTTCATACCATCAACTTTAATTTAGGTTTTGCCTTTTTGTAATTTTTTTTTTTTTAAATTAGGTCTGTTTTTATCACTGCATTAAAACTGTGGTTAAATTCAAGATATTAAAGTTAATAAACTCTACATCTCAAGGTGCAACAAATATCTCAGCTTTGTAATGTGCATTAAATGTATCATAAAAACTAAATTTCTAGAAGGAAAGCATAAGATGCTAAGAATCAAATATTATGTGCCTTAACATAGTTAAAATAATTACCAAGATAATATGATAAAGAGGCATTCCATATTAAATCAACAAGGGTCTGAACACCACCGCCATGGATTTTTTCAGATTTGGTACCCTTATAGAGTTTCATGTTACAAACTGAATGGTGCCTATTTAACATCTCTAGGTCAAAGGGTTAAAAGGTGAATTTTGGAAAATAGTCTCATAGTTTAAACATCAATATCTCAGGGTTTTTTTTCACCTACAAAGCTAAATTACATACTATTTTGAAGTACTTGAATAGATTTAAAACCCATTTGTTTTTGTTTTTTTGCTTAGAGGACAAATAATTTAATTTGACCATTCATTTCTCAAAAATCATATCTTTAATTTTTAAAAAAATTTAATAACAAATTTGTTTGCCATATTGAAAGATATGTACAAAATTCTGTGGTGGTCTTTTGATTGTGGCCTGGGCTACAAAGATTTTACTGAGTTGGGTCAAATTTAAAATGGCAGATTTTGGCATCTGCCATGCTAACATTTTCATATCTCCCAATATGGTCAAGTTGCATATCTTTAGAAAGCTCTTTTAATGCTGATTAATATTCATATAAGAACTATGATCATAAAATCAACAGAATTTGTGTTATGTAGTTTTTGAGTTCCTATAATTGTTGAGGCATTTTTGAATCTTCAAAGATTTCTGCTTCATTTGTCCATTTGTTTGTTGAGGGATATAAAATATTCATGTCTGAAATATTTTTTCTTGCATAATCAAACAGATGTCTTGGTGTCATTATCTATTCATTACAGGGTCACTTCAGGCTTGCTTTCACTGCTAATCTCTTAACAGTGCCAACTAACCCATCACATGGTCCTTTTAATAACTTTTATAATGTGAAGCAGTGCCATCAGAGAAAGAGATCAGCTTTTTTATTTTAAAATTAATTTTTCCAGTATTAAATGGTATATAATTTAGCTTTGTAGGTGACCCCCCCCCCAAAAAAAAAACTGAGATATTGATATTTAAAATTTGTGACTATTTTCTAAAATTCTTCTTTTTGGCAAAAGTCAAAGGGTCATAACTCTGGAACCCTTTGACCTGGAGATGTAAAATAGTCACCATTCAATTTGTATCCTGAAACTCTGTATGTGTACCAAATTTGTGTTGGTGATGGTCAGGCCTTTGTTGATTTGACATGGAAGGCGTCTAAAGTAATAAAAGTATATCTTATCCTGACAGGGTTCCTCTAATTTTCACATAATATATACAATTATATTAAAACAAAGTGGAAGGAAGATCAAGGATAAGAAAAAAAAACATTTTCCCCTGTAAAGTGGTGAATGAAAATTTAACAAGTTATTGTTCTTTATATGTTTTGTCTTCAATTGAGCTCTGATTATCCATTATTAAAGTGGTTTATCATTTGAGGAGAGATTAACCACTTTTTTGTTTGTTTTTTCAATTCATCACAACTAATTTTGTTTCTCATTCTTGCTCTTCTCCTCACTTTATTTTAACACATTTGTATATATTATGAGAATATATACTCTTAAAATGCCTGTTTTTAAAGACATCATTTTGTAATCCCTATATATATATATATATATATATATATATATATAGATAGATAGATAGTCAATGACGAAATTATTCATAGACGCATCAATTTTGAATAGGTTTTTTATATGTTAATTAGCACAAAAAAAGGAATATAAAACTCAATTTTCAGAACAATTGGTTAAATAATACAACAAATTTGACAGGTGAATTATGCAAGATAGAAAAAAAAATTTAAAAAATAAGAAAACCCAAAATACTTCTCTCTGCCCTCCTCTCTTTTTCTCTTACTTTTTCTCTTCCATTCACCATTGTTAACCTTCATCCAGGTTTGTAAAGGCCTAGAATGTATTTATTAATGTTTATATTTTGACATATATATATATATATATATAATAAAAATTTTAAAACATTACTAATAATACTGAGCTTCAAAATCATCCAAATGTATAAAAAAAAAGAAAGACATCAAAAAGTTGTATTGGTTGCACAACCACCACACTCACTCATAGATGAACATGTCAAAATTTATTGCAGTCATTTTTATATTGGTGAACATATTACACCATGATGTCACAATTGTCCCCTAATATTAGACAAATAAATATATTAGAATATCCTATGTCATTAATCATAAAGAAAGATTGAAAATATTTGAAGTTATTCATATACAAAAGAAACAATTCACGTTAAACATTATGTCATTTTAAAATGAGTTTTGGCATTTTTTAAATTAATATCTTCACACTTAGGGACAGTTTTTTTTTTTTTTTTTTTTAATTCAAAATAGATATCCCTTACATATCTTTGCAAACCATTATACACATAATGTCACAAATGTTCATATAATTTAGATAGGTGAAGATTTATTCAATCTTTTTTCTTTTGGAAAGTGCCACACACCTTTGGTAGACGGTTAAAACAGTATCAAGATCAAGAATTATCAGAATCAAGAAGGTGCAATGTGTTGCTCACCATGAGTCTAGAATCAGCCCAACTGGTGGCTGGCAGGAAAGTTTCTCTATGGTGGTTAAATGAGAGCAGTTTTGTTTTGGAGACATTAAAATTTACAAGCCATTTCCTACCCCAGTTAACCACTGATTAGAGGTCCTTTAAAAGAGCTATGGCCAGACTGTTAACTCTGACGGATTTGCTATTGAGACAGGAGTAAATGGTAGTGTCATCAGTATAAATGCCTACATGGGAACTGATGACTATGGAGATCATTGATGAAGTTCAGAAACAGCATAGGACCCAGGATAGAGGCTGGGGGACACCCACATTTGTGTGAACAGATTTGGAAGTGAGCCTGTTCAAAATGATCTTCATTTCATGATTTGATAGGAATGATTGGATTAAATCAAACAATCATCCTGTAACACTGTAGTTCTGGAGTTTATGTAGAAGATCAGCATGTCAAACCCTGTCAATCACCTTTGAGATATCTAGAGCCCCAGTTCGAGCTTCACTGTTATTATCAAGAGCTTGATTATATATATTCAGTGATGGCTGTTAGCACATCAGTGGTAGACCTGGCAAAATGGAAACCATATTGTTTGTCAGAGAGTAGGTGATGAGAGTTAAGATGCTTAACCACTTCAGCATTGATTAAAGCCTCAAAGACTTTGCCAAAAAGCTGTAGGAGACTAATAGGGCAATAGATAGAGGGGTCAGAAGGTTCCCCAGAGTTCTTAAAAACAGAAACTACAGAGGTGGACTTCCAACAAGCTAGGAAGCAGTAAGGCAATAGTTGTAAAGTTTGGAGAAACCTGGAGCCAGCTAGGGAGCACATTTCCTTAGGATGATGGCTGGGATCCCATCACCTCCACTTGCCTTATGGGAGTATAATTTAGAAATGATGTCTGAGACCACTGACAGAGTTGTGTGCATATCACTCAGTCCAGTATATGTTCTAGTGAGGAAATCAGGTGTGGGTGCTCCAAATGAGTCAAGTTGGAAGAGAATTTCCGAGCAAAGCATTCAACCTTATCTACTGCAGATGTCAGGACTTTGAACTGATTGAATAGGGGAGGGATTGAGGATTTGCTGTTGTTCAGTACACTCTTGTAGAGCTGCAAATAATCTCTAGAACCAAACTTGTGAGATACTATATGTTGTTTCATTCTATCAGCAAACAGTAACTTCTTTGAGAACACACTTGCACTTGTTATGAGCAGAAACAAAGACATGTCTGTTGCAATCAGAGTTGTAGTTCTGGTATAGTCGGAAGAAGTGATTCCTATAGCAGACAAGCATGCAGTCGAGAACGAAGGAGATTAATGTGATTTAACTTGGTATTTCCTTGTTGGAATGAAATCCTCAATGCCAGCTTTCACTCAAGAGGAGACCTCAGATGTAGATTTTTGAACAGGATGATTAAAAACTTCATTCCAATGGACATCACAAAGGAAATCATAGAACGAGTCCCAAACTGCTGGTTGATAACAGAAAGATATTCTGTTAGTAGGAGATTCTTGGCTAATGGGGAAGCAGAAAGAAATGTTTACAGACACTACCACATGATCAGAGTTGCCAAGAGGGCAGAGCTGCATAGTATGACATGATTCAGGGATAGAGATAAAAAAAAGAGAAGAGAAGCTTGTCTATCAGGTTTCCTGGGGAAATGTGTGGGGAAGTCCATTGAGAAGTTCAGGGTTTGGTTGCCAGCAAAGTCAGTGACAGAGAAATATATATTTTCAAATGGGTGTAGAGAGATGGTCTTGTCTGTGTTATCAGAAATACTATATAGCATGCAACAGTCTTGAGAGGAAGGGGAATGGTAAAGAAAGAAGAGGTAGCTGACTGAGTTTTGTAGAGAGAGACGGAGACACATGGAAGAATGGTCAAGAGATTCAAGAGAGAGTTCCTTAGTCAGCGGGAGATGTTCACAGACATAAACTCCAAGGCCATGCATGTGGACATTAGGGTCCTTCCTAAGGAGAGGAAGATAGCCAAGAATTGAGAAAATAAGGAGGGGATTAAAGTGTTTAGATTAGTTTCGTAGAGAGAGCTAAGATGTCTGGAGACTTTTCGAAAAGGAACGATTCCACACTGCAGAAGTGTGGAATCATTCCTTTTCCTTTTAGGTGTTTTTTGCATGGTGAAACTGAAAAAAAAAAGTTTACTAAGAAGTACAAAGGGTAGGAAGTTGTAGAGAGCAATGATCATGCACGTCCTGAAGGGACATGCAATATAAAAGAATTAGAATCATTTTTTGTAATTTCTTCAACAGATTTCTTTTTCTTTCTTTCTTTTTTTTTTTTTAAAGAAGTATAATTGAAATGAAAGTCCGATGTTAATTCCATCAGGGGAGGCAATTCATGTTATACTTCTTGCTATTTATCACGTCAGCGTTGTTTTTTTTTTCTTTCTTTTTTTGTTGATTACTTATTCCGTATCTAAACAAATGTTTCCGATTTACTTTTTATGAATAAGAAAGGTTTGTTTTTAAAAAGGAAAAGAAAAAAATATTTGAAAAAAAAAAAAAAAAGTAATTTTTTAAATTCTATCGTAAAAATGGGTTACTTATGAGATAAAAGTTTACACGCCGCAAAAAAAAAAAAAAAAAAAATCACCTTAGAACACAATAATAAAAACTAAAAAGAAAATCGATAAACTTAAGGCTTAAATTTATTGATTTTTACGATGATTTTCCAAACACTATTATATCGTGGAAAGATTAAATTTTCTTTTAAATCCAATATAAAGAAACTAGTTTTAAGGAAGCCTAAATAAGATAATTTTTAGTACTATGATAACAAAACAACATGACATAAACAATAAACACAGAAGTCAAAGAAAGCAATATTAGCAGTAGTAAAAAAAAAAAACAAAAAAAAAACTAACGAGCGGTAGATAAATTTTTATATTTCAAGTCATCCATACATACATAAAGTGGCTTTTCAATGCATTTAAACTATAATAACTAAACTTTTTTTTTTCAAACAGAAAATTTAATTTCTGGTATTTTAAACAAATCCTGTTTATTAAGTTTAAACTGTCATCATTAAGGTTGAAATATAATTTTAAACGTGATCTAGATCAGGAAACACGAGGAAGAAGAAAATAAAACAAATGCGAACAGGATATTCTAACTAAATTCAGCAAACACTTTTAAAAAAATGAATAGAATGATTTTATCTACACTGCACTTCCGTAGACGAATTAAAGGAACAGTAGCCGGCACCGAACTTTCATTTAAAAAAAAACAAAACCCACAAAATAGCATAAACAACCCAAAACTGATAGAACAAGGACATTTCGAGATGATTCAAAGCATGAAAGGTACCAGTCTTTGCGATTAATAAACAGTTTTGTATCGAGAGAAATAAAAAAAAAAAAGACGCTTTCACAATAACAAATTATTTTGAAAAAAAGCTGCTGCTTCTGCTCCAACTCACTCGATCTAACAAAGCAAGTGCAACGAAACGCACCAGTTAAAGTTCTAATTTCGCTCACCTCTAAGACTTCTGTCTTCGATTTGTCTTTCTATAGATGCTCAAACACTTCAGGGATGGAGACAACGATTAAGCAAGCTGCCACCTCAAAATAAGAAAGGAATTATTTCCATTTCAAACTCCTTCGTCGCAGTCAACACTGGAAATGGTCAGAGAGGAAAGGACAAGGGAGATAATCAATATTTGGTTTCGTCTTTGTCTACGACTTGAAGACAAAAGGGCAGAAGCTGGGAGGGGAAGTGTCCAGTTTTAAATCTGCCCAAAAAGCAAATATTGACAAGAATGAATGCAATTTGCAGAAGTGTTTAATTTCTAACCCCATTTCACACTCCTCGCAGACTACCTTGATATTGTAAAAGAGAACTTCATCGAAAATAAGTAGAATTAAATAAAATAAATTACATATCAGCTATTAGTAAACTTGAGAAACCTGAAAAAAAGGCAGTTTTACTTTTAAGAGAGAGATTTTATCAAATTTCAACTGACAGTAGCACTGTTTGTGCAGTCAGAAATGTCGAATGTTTCCTTATAAGGAAACGGCTAATTACAATTACTTTACGAAATAAAAAATATTTGATCTGTTTTTGAAAAAAATAAAAATAAAAGAAGTATCTTTATTGTGCATCAAAAAATTATTAAAAATAACGAAAAAAATATTCTATCTATCTATCTATCTATCTATCTATCTATCTATCTATCTATCTATCTATCTATCTATCTGTTGCAGATTTGAATCAATCCACACCAAAGCGAAAGGCGAAAAGGCGATTAAATATATATATAAAAAAAGATATTTTTTTATTTTCTTGTTTTTTACAACTAAATTTTTCTTAGCGTGTATAAGTGTTAAAGTTCTTAGAGTCCTTGTTTGTAGTTGTTTGTTAGCATGAAAAGAAACGTGATTTTTTTTCGCGTGTATGTGTGAGAAAGAAGAGGCAAAGAGGAATGTGTAAGTGTCACGTAGCTTGGTCCGGAAGACGGGGAATTTCTTTTAAGCCGAGCGTTTGTTGTCGCCTGTATCTCCTTCATTGTTTGTCCATCTATAAAATTTGTTTAAATATCCTTCAAAGGGATCAGGAAGCACTATATTATTATTATTGGCTGGAACGCCACCCGTTGGTTAAAAAATGTTAAATATTTATTGTAAAAGCATTAATTTATTATGATTAACCGAAAGGATGCGCAATCATCCAACTCAGAAACCATTTTTGCCATTTGGTGTTTGACTGTCTTGGTATTTCTATCTATCTATCTATCTATCTATCTATCTATCTATCTATCTATCTCATTCTGCTACCACTTGCTTTCGACTGCAAATTTTGTGCAGAAAGAGGATCACAGGGCCTTGACATTTCTCTGACTCCTGATTGGTTAATTAATGCCAATATCATGCTTTTGTCTACGTCCGCACGGTTAAAATTAATTTACCGCCAAATATCTGTCTATGTGTTTCGAGCCTATCACGTGACATACAATATTATAAATAATTAGCGGCATCTTCAGCTATTTCTCTTTTGCCTTCTCTCACGCACAAGATGTAGCGTTAGAGATATTGCATCTGTCCCTTATGGGGAGACGCTATCACACACACACACACACACACACACACACACACACACACACACACACACACACACACACAAAAACGTACGTACGAACATTGCACATCTCTGAAGTCATCTCATTCCCTCCTTCAACTACAAGAACACAGAAACTTATTCAACTTCTAACTGAGATTTTTTTCAGCAGCAAACATGCCGTCCGAGAGAATACAACTTTCGACTCTTACCAGTGAGACCCTTCGAAAGTCAACAGTATACGTTGCCGCCATCTCAGAATTTAACTTAAGGTTTTGTTGTAGAGTGGTTTCACAGTGGAGGCTTGTATTTGTACTAAGTCGGTCCTAAAATAGATTCGACGTACAAAACGTTAGGAACTTGATATAATAGGTAATGATACAGAGAAATCTAGTGGTGGTCGCTGATACATTAGTATCCGACTAACGGTCGTCCGACATCGACTGACTGACCAACTTACTGAGCGACTCCCTCGTTACTCTTACTACTCCTACTTATTATAGGTGGGAGAGTCTATTAATTATAGAATAGGTGTGTTCCACTATAACAGGTTTTCAACTCTTACTATTTTTTTTAGTAGCGAGAAATATTACTTCAAAATCTTCTGGAGCTATAAGTTTCGATTCAACATATTGTCAGCTTTCCAGAATTCTCTCACTCATATTCAACTCTCTTCGGTGAACAGTTTAAGCGGCAAGTTATTTCAACTTATTTATGCTAAATTTTATTCAGAATTTTAAAAACAAAAAATTACAATTTTAGTGTGGTAATTATCATCACCATCATACATAAAAATCATGCGACAAACATTCATTGGTTAATAATCTCCTCAAAACTAACTCGCTGATTGGTCAATTCCAACCAATCAGATATCCTGCACGCGAGGAATGAAATTTCCCGCTCACTAAGGTTTGAGCCAGTCACGTGATACACCACCTTATATAAACAAAACACGTGTAAGCGCCCTCTCTCTCTCTTTTCTCTTCATTCATCTTATTCCTCGCTGCCAAGATATAATCTTCAAGAGCTCCCGTCTTGACCATGCGGTCAGATGTTAAAGAATATTACCAATTCACGCAAGTACGAACTCTTAACTCTACTGAACTCTTACCAACTTTACCATTTCCTAACATGCAACAGGAACTTTATTCTTCTAAAACTTCAGTTTAATAATTACTTCATCTTTATGAGCTCCGGTACAAATATTTTCAAATCTAAGAGACATAACTCATTCAAACCTTCAGATTATATGCATGTACATCAACACTAATAAATTCAATTGTTATGTTTTGAACCATTACGTTCTGTCTTGTATTTTATACTATGTGCTATTTTACGTCAAATATAAATTGCATTGTGACCGCTACATGTTTGGTACCTCCAGCGTCCTCGCTTGTCCTTTTCCACGTCATTCCCAGTCAAAGATAAATAATTGTGGTGATGCGTGCTACTGTGGAATCTTCCACAACAAACCAGCCTTACCTATTTTTAGGAAATGCACTCTTCCTATCTGGTAAGTAAAATTCTACTTTCATACAATATAACAAGTATTCATTAGTCAATCACCTCCAATCTAGCTTGCTGATTGGTCAGTTCCGACCAATCAAACCGCCTGCACGCGACCAATCTGTTTTCCCGCTCATATGCTGGGAGCCACTCGGCCATTATATAAACCGAACACGTGTGAACCTTTCGAGTAGTAGTTACCAAGTGCCAAGATGTAACCTTCCCCAACTCCCGTCTTAGTCATTGCTGACCAGACGTTAAAGACAATTACCAACATTCACAAACTCTGAAATCATTCCTGAACTTTTACCAACTTTGCAAACTCACAATTCCAAACTTTCTTAATATGAACTCTGGTACAACTAATACCTAATCAAAGGGACACGACTCTGTCCTACCTTTTCAGTTCGCATGCATGTAATCAAACATTAATAAAACTAATTGATATGTTTTGGAATCATTCAGTTCAGTTTTGTATTTTATTATATGTGCTATTTACGTCAAGTATAAATTGCATTGCTTTCACGCATTGTCCTTAATCTCATCTTTCCTAGCCCAAGTTAAATATTGGTAACTCAATCACTACAACGATGATAATACAACAGCTACATATTTGATGATCCCGACGGAAATAAACAACAATGGTACCTCTATCGCTACACTACACCAAACACAACTTCTTAATATTGCAAGTGAAGACAATTTCTTTCTCTTCTCATACGAACTTTCCAGTCTATAACAGTTTTTTTTTATCGAAGAACATTTCTTTCATTGAGACTTAACTTTATTTCATGAACTGAAATCTTTTCTGCGAATTCAGATAAAAATATTTTCTCTTAAAAGGCTTGAGAATTTCCAGTTAAAGGTGAATAACTCTTGCTATATTATTAATTATAAATGCTACATATGAGCATACACTTTGTAACAATTTGCAAACTCACTTTAAATTACCTGAATAAATTCATTCTTCAATTTTGTATATTGTGGATATTAAAATGATTTGTTATTTCTAGCAAACATATATATTTTATATTTTGTCGTAAATGTTTGTAGAGAAGTTTATTTTCACGCAGCCAACACAAATAATACCATCTGATATATAAATATATTTACCAATAACCTACTCCTCCGCAACATATCTATCTATCTATCTATCTATCTATCTATCTATCTATCTATCTATCTTCACATTCGCTACTTCACCCATGCAGTCATAAATTATGCTATATAAACTTAAACTCCTTATCAGAATGTTTTCACATATAAGTCTTCTTAAACTACATAAATAAACCCAGTGCAAGGAAGATAACTCTCAAGATCTGACTTTGCTCATATCTACTTCAATATCTTAAGGTTAGTTTATGGCCGAGTGCTTAGAACGTTCGGTTCAGGAGACCCGGGTTCAAATTTCACTATCGTCAATTTGTCAGGAAGGCGACTTCTTGTTCAGAAGCCGTCGATGGTAATGCTTGCACAAGTCGTCGTGAGCGAGGGTTTGAGCGTACTGAACTTATTAAAACGTCTGACCATGGAAGCTTATATGCTCTCTCCCAGGAACTGTAGCTAATGTTCGCTCAGCGTAGTTGCCGTGTGGACTCAAGAGGTGTTGAACAAACACAAATGTGCCTGAGTAGACGTCTGCAACAAGGAGTGGTTAGCTGTTCAAGCAGATGAGTGTGCTCGGAAAACGAGATTAGCTGGCCATTATGTATGTAGGCGTCTAAAGCTTTAAAGATTGTCAAAAATTTATGAATAAAATTATACAAATCTATCTATCTATCTATCTATCTATCTATCTATCTATCTTTTCACTTTTGAGAGTAATCTATCTATCTATCTATCTATCTATCTATCTATCTATCTTTTCACTTTTGAAAGTAATCTATCTTTTCACTTTTCAGAGTGATCTATCTATCTATCTATCTATCTATCTATCTATCTATCTATCTATTCACTTTTGAGAGTAATCTATCTATCTATCTATCTATCTATCTTTTTACTTTTGAGAGTAATCTATCTTTTCCCTTTTCAGAGTGATCTATCTATCTATCTATTCACTTTTGAGAGTAATCTATTTTTTCCCTTTTCAGAGTGATCTATCTATCTATCTATCTATCTATCTATCTAGCTAGCTAGCTAGCTATCATAAAGGAAATCATTGTAATAAATTATTAGAAGATAATACATATTTAACACATTTGAGTGATATTAATTTGATGTTATTCATTTTAACGTAATA